GTAAAAAAAATGTTGTCCAGTTCTTGTCATTCATCATTTCTGACCCCCAAAGACTTATAAACTTAGACCGGCTCCATTCAGGAGAATTGCCAAAACAGCTCGGGTACATGTGATCTTGTAAAGATGCATTGAATACCTGATGCTTGTTAGTGTGGTTCTGTGTAGGAGGCAAGGCCTAAATAAAAACAAATGTTTATAAATGATAGTAAAATAAATAAAAATGCACAAATGCACACTGGAAAACCCAGTCAACAGCTCAATATTCATATAAGAATGGTGAACACTGAATAGTCTGACGAAGACTGCAGTGCAGGAGCGGAGGGACCCGCCTGGCTGCAACGGAGGGACCCGCCTGGCTGCACCGGAGGGACCCGCCTGGCTGCACCGGAGGGACCCGCCTGGCTGCACCGGAGGGACCCTCTTGCTTCCTTACTTTGAGAAAAACTCAAAAACAAAAAGCAGATCAGGATTTTTTTTCCCCTCACTTTCCTGATCTGTTTTAGGTCCTTGATTCTGATACCATTTTTAGGTAGTCATTGATGGCAGCCCCCATATTTCTCTAATGACAGCTTTACTTAAACAGAGAAAACATTTTAGAGTATTTTAGAATCTGCAAAATGATTCCATAACCAATAAAAAGTAAGACTGCACAATACTTGCTTTTAAATGCAATGTTTGCCTAAATGTCATTGATATTTTTGGTCTTCTGCTTAAACAATTACATACAGATGAGCTATTATTTTTTAAATAACCCGAAAGAAAAAAAAAATAGGAGCAAAAAAGCAAGCATAAAGCTAAATCATCAACTAAGCTAATCAAGCACTAAACAAGGTCCAATAACTTAAAGTATCAATAGCAGCAAATCACTAGCCTCATCCATGCAGAGTCTTCTTGTACAAAGTGTACTGAGCAACGTTTTTTTCCTGCGGTTTGACTGCACTCCCCCAACAACACTCTTCCACAGAATAAGGACACATGGAGTTTTGTTTGTTGACATTTACAGGAGATATGGCGTTCAGAATTCTGATCATTTATCAGTGTCTTATTGTACTTAAGTGTCTTAAGTTTTAATCATACATTAACAGATGTAAATTGCTGTGAGGTTGTCTCTGTTAAGTTGGCCATACACTGCACAACCATCGCAAGACCTTAATCTTGCGATGGTTGTAAAGTGATTAAAAAAACGTACGATCTGCCCATCTTGGACAGGCAGATCGCACTCTCGATCATCGCAAGCCCGCCCCCCTGAGGGGCGGGCTTCCGATGACCGCAATGCTGAACGGGCAGTGAGCGCGTGCGCACACCGGCCCGTTCGGAATTTGTCTCCCGAGCATCATTCAAACTAGCCGAAAACCGTACGATCTCGGCTGGTTTTCTAACATGCTCCTTAGACAAAAGACGTGCGACCGTACATTAGAAACGGTCGCATGTCTTCGTTCACACTGTTCGATTCTCGTACGATCGCAGGAGTGTATGGGCACCTTTACCTGGTTCATCATAGGTTATTGGTGGGATGGGAAAAAACAAAAAAACAGGACTGTTGTACTAGCAATTACATCCATGTCTTGGAGTTCATTAAGGAACAGGATTCAGATATTCTTAGGACAACTGTGTTATGTGAATACCACGTCACAGACCAAATTGCACATGCCACCGTTTTATTCTACAGTGTCTCTGCTTTTGGAAAATAAAATGTTTTGGGGGGTTTCAAGTCATTTTCAGACCTAAAATATGCATTTGAACATAAGTGCACAAGAGTGGGAATTACAGAAAAAAAAAAAAAAATGAATGCAAAAGTGTTAAATGAATGTTCATGTTGCACGCACATGGCCATATGGGCAAATATTACTGCCATGAAAGACACCAACTTGCTGCAAAAGGCTATTATAACTAAAGTTGAGAGCTTGAGACAGCTGATCAACAGCTTCAAGGACCGAGTTAACAGGGTCTCTTCAAACTTGTGAATGGGACTCATTGCATAAGTCTCACAAATTGCGCCACAAGACTCAAGAGAACAGCTGTAGACAAGAAAGGATTGTTGAAAGCAATGACAGCTACCAGCTCCCACAGCCATTTACATGTATATACACATGCTGTAATTGCCAGTGGAGCATCTACTCTGGACGTAAACAATTTGTGCCCAGGGGCGATCATCCACAGTACACACAGGTCTGGAAGGCACCATAGTGCAAAGTCCAGTGTAAACAGGAGACACAGTTTATATTCACCAGATCCATGGGCCTACTCACAGAGTGAGTCTTCATAGACCGTCACATTAGATCAGGGGTGCCCACAATTTTTGTGTTAAGATCTACTGGCTGTTTCTCCTTGCCCTCTCCCCTGGCTGTCTCAGCAGACTCAGGCTAATAGGTAATCATGTGTGCACAGCTAAATAAATATACCAAAATGGAATAAAGGGGCAGCCATTCACACCCTTTGTGATCTACCAGCATCAGCTTTGAGAGCTACTGGTAGATCACGATCTACCTAATGGGCACCCCTGCATTAGAGGCTGTGCCACAGCTGGACCTGCAGAGTGCCCCGGGGCTAACAGTATACTAAGGTCTGAAAAGCACCAAAAGCACAGCCCCATGCCCATAAGTCATATTCCAGTGGGATCTCGGTACGGCCTTAGAGGCATCGATGAAGATAAGCTGCTGTGTAGAGACCAACTCAAGGAGAATAATAAACATCTTGAATGTACAGAAAAAAACCATACACCAAATACCGAGAACGTTGATAGCAGAGGGGGAAAAAAATAAAAAAATTAATGTAGTTGAAAGCAGGGTATATAAGTAGGCTTTACGTTTGTTTGTTTTTTGCCAGTGTCCCAACATCCTGGAGGTGGCAGTATAACCCAATTGTCTTAGAATAACTGAATCCTGTGTCTCCTATAGAATAAGAAAGAAAGCTATTTTGTATACTATACCTTTACATAATGTACGTAAGTCATAATAATAGGATAAGAGAACTATTGGTCTTTAGAGTTAAGGAACGCCAATGCTGTCCCCTCCGTCTTATATTTTATAAATAATTGGGGGGTGCCAATTTCCTTTGACTGCAAAATAAGAACGCATTTTGACCTGGTATCAGGAAATTCAAATACAATTCTGGGGTGCTTCACTAGAGGGGATCAGAAGTAGTGAGCCAAGCAACAGTAAGGGATTTGAAACATGATTGGATGGTCTACACCTCAGACAAATGATAAAAAGACTTGAGGGACCATTTGGTCTTTTTTGGCTCTCAGTCTTATGTCAGCAAACCAACATACATGTGCAGTACATTCTCTGCCGGAATAAAAAAACTCCCGTAGCACGTACGCAGGACTTACCTGGTTGTTGTCCAACCAATTAATATTGCCGAAAATCCCAGACAAAAATGGGGCAAAAATGTAAACATCGGCAAGGAAGCGACAGGAGGCGAGTTTCTACTTAAGCATGATACAATCTATAAAACGGGTTTTTCTATAGATTGTATCATGCTTAAAGGAGAACTATGGGGTCAGTGTTTTTCCCCATAGTTCTCCTTAGGGTAAAGGGAGGACACAAACTAGCGTCCTCCCGTTACCCTAAGCTCAGTATACCGCGAGCTACAGCTCGCGGTATACTGAGACGCCGCAGCCGGAGCGGATCCCGACGTAGATGTGTGACAGCTGGCTCTGCCAATCTAGAGGCAGAGCCAGCTGTACCCGCCCCCTCCCCCGTCCAGCCAGTCAGCGATGGCAGATCGGAGCGGGGAGAGGGGAATCCAGCCCCTCCCCCTGTCACGGCAGTCTCATTGTCACAGGTCGGCTAGAACTATGAGGTGATTGAAAAGCACTCACCTCATAGTTCTCCTTTAAGTAGAATCCACAGCTGGAGCATAAGTCAATTTCTAGATACACACACCTAGTGTGCGCTATTGCTTTCCTCTTATCTTAATGGCTCTTCAATCTATAAACAGTGTTGCTTTCCCACCTCAAGGTTTGCAGCTCAGTACATGCAACATTACATTTTAAGAGCTGCAGATAAGACTAGCAGAAATTAATGTCAATAACAACTGCTGTGCTTCTTCCTGTTTCAGCAGACACTTCAGCTATCTGACTGGAAATGTGCATGTAGAGAACATTACAAACGGTTTATAAATATTTGCAACTGTTTTGTGTATATGACAGAGAATATCACATTAGCCTGGAGCTCTTCTTCAGTATGTCAGAAAACTTACCTTACTATGTGCAAACGGAGAGGCTGCATACAGCGTGGGGTGAATAAGGGGTCGGGGCAGGTGGGGGATAGAATGCAAGGGTAAATGTCCGTGAATGTGGGGATAAAGGTGAAGTGCTGGATGTGCTGGTTTATCGGAATTAATGAACTGATGTCCTGTTGGGAGACGTCCTGCCACCAGTGCAGATGGAGACAGGCCTGAGGCTTCCTGCTTACACACATGGCACTCACAGGAATTTGGAATTGGTTCTACCTGTAACAGGAGAAAAATCGTGTTAGTAGGCACAACCTTGGCAAAACTATGAGATCCCCTCAAAGTATTATGACAAAAAGCACTGTCCACAGGAATTTACCAATAAAAGGCTAAAACATAAGACCAAGCTCCAAAAAGAGCCAGTGGATAACTTATGTGGCAATTCCACACTCTATCTGCATCTAGAAGTCCTCAAAACAATTCACTTTCTACAGTCTATGACTTAACCTCCCTGGCGGTATGATTATTCAGGATTTTAGCATCCCAAAGTGGTACATTGTTTTTGCATCGAAATTTGTTGTTTTATATTGTAGGCCTGTAATTCTTAGTAAATCTTATGAATAACTCGCCTAAATCTGTCCAAACAAGAGTCCAGTAGACATCCCAGGTATGATAAAGTTTGAAACACGAAATTAAAAAATGATAATATAATAAATTATAAATAATTATAA